CAGGAGCTGCCCTGCAATGTTGTCACCTGTCCCTTGCAAGACCTTCCACAGGTGACACAACCCAAGGTGAAAACTTCCCTAATCCAGGATGGTTCTTTCCCAAAGAACCATGGTGGAAATCAGTTGGAAATAAATTTCTCAAAAAAAACATGGTGGAAATCAGTTGGAAATAAGTTTTTCAAAGAACTAAAATGGAAATAAACTGAAAATAAGTTTCTCAAACTATCATGGTGGAAAAAAGTGGAAAATAAATTTCTCAAAGAATAATTCTCAAAATCAATAGTAAGTTTCTCAAAAAACCATGGTGGAAATCAGCTGGAAATAAGTTTTTMAAAGAACCATAAYGGAAATAAAMTGGAAATAAGTTTCTCWAAGAACCATGGTGGAAAWAASTGGGAAATAAATTTCTCAAAATCAATTGTAACTAAATTTCTCAAAGAGCCATACTGGAAATCAGTTGGAAATAAGTTTTTCAAAGCATCAAAATGGAAATAAACTGGAAATAAGTTTCCCAAAGAACCATGCTGGAAATCAATTGTAAATAAATTTCTCAAAGAACCATGGTGAAAATAAACTGGAAATAAATTTCCCGAAGAACCATGGTGGAAATAAGCTGGAAGTAAGTTTTTCAAAAAACCAAACTGGAAATAAGTTTCCCAAAGAACCGTGCTGGAAATCAATTGTAAATAAGTTTCCCAAAGAACCATTCTGGAAATAAACTGGAAATAAGTTTCTCCAAGAACCATGCTGGAAATAAATTGGATATCAAGTCTTCATCTATTTGGCACTCATATTTATCTATTCCTGAATGTTTATCTCTTTCATTCCCACCTTCACTTCCATCTCACCCCATGGAAAACCTCACTATGAAATGCATTTAACACATATTTAAAGAACAAAGGAGGAAAGAGAAGCAAATTGTGACTACAGCTGGATGCCACAGAATTATAAACTCATTAATCTTCATTTTTGCAGCTTGCAACAATCAAAATGTAATTCATCAGAGTGCATGAAGGCAGTTAAACATGCAACAATGCAAATTCCACCAAAATCTGGAGCCTTTTGGGGAATGTGGAGGCTGTGGTGGTGTGGAATGCCAAGAGAAGATGCCAGACTGATCAATCAAGCAGACTGGAAAAGGGCTTACGTGGCAAACACTGCRCTGGCCTTTGTGTGCAGAGCAAAGAGAGAATAAGCAGATTGAAATCAAACAAAAAAAAAACGGGTGAGGAGGGAGGGATGAAGCTTAGGAGAAAATCTCCAGTGCCCCAATGAATGGGGATGATGAACTGATAGCAGCTCTGATGGGGAAGGACAAAGCCTCCTCTGGATTTCACTGGATAAAAACAACCTCAGCCCAACTGTGAGCTCCACAATCTACCACTGACAACCAAAACAGRAATGTCACAGATTTGGAAGAAAAACAGGGTGCTCAGATCTTTCATGGCACTGGTAAAACCTGGCTTCTGGCATAATTCATATTTTCATACAAAAACACACAGAGATGTGCACATGCTGTGTAAATATGTGTGTCTATATTTTATATTTATATTTTATTTTGATACCAGTTTAGCTGCACTGGTAAAGACCTGAAGTAGCTATGAAAAGAAGGGTTTGAAGCTATGGAACATCTGTATTTTAGTTCCAGCTAAAGTGAAAAACTCCCTTGGCATGCCCAAGTGCAGCCACCAAAGTTCTTGCAAAGGATTCAGGAATTTTTAAGCTTCCCAAGGAAACAGGTACYGAAAAAAARTTCTTTATCCCTACCCAGATAAGGRTGGAGACCTTCTAGTAAAAAWTTAAAGTTGGCAGAACAAAAGAAAGGTTTTCTGGTCCATTTTGTTAAAGCAAAGGACAAAACATTCCCTCAAGTCCTAGGAAAAGTCATTTTTCCCAATATCCATGTGTATGTTTCTGGCTTCAGCTCTTCCTGACAGAACATTTCTCAACAGAGAGAAATCACACTGATTTTAAAGAATGGTAATTTTGGAACAGGATGAAATAACCCAGAGTTGATTTCATGAGTTCAGGTAAGAATTCTGGGCAAAATATGGTATTTATTTGATGAAATACTGCATGAGCTTCCAGCAGAACTACGCCATGGAACCACCACAAGAGCTACACTGAAGTTTTCCAGAAAAAAATAAATTCTCCCAATCATTCTCCATTGAAATTCCCTCCCCACTGAGGTTTCTGCTGCCCTGTTCTCTCCCATTTTTCCTTTTCTCTCTACCCACCACATCACATCCCCCTCTTTGTTTTCTCCATATTTCCTTTGGTCTTCCTCCTTTCTTTGTCCTCAATTTTAGAGCATCTCACTCATAAACCCCTAATTAATCAGCACTGTTGTGATGAGAATTCATCCACCCCTTTCCCTTTTTCATMTTTCAAATCTGAACTATTTGTTTGCCTACCTCCACCCTCCTGTATTTTATAGGAACAGCAATATTTACTGATCTAACACAGACAAACTCTCCTCACCCACACTGGGATGTGACCCAAGTTTTATTGACTTAATTTCTATTAAAGTTTAATTTTTATTTATCAAAATTCATTGTTACTGACTTAATTTCTGTTAAATTTAATTTTTATTTCTGTATCAAAATTCATTGCTCATTATTTATTTATTTTGTATTTATTTATTGAAATTACAGTTAAATTTAATTATTTTATTATCTATTAAAAAAGGTAAAAGTCAATTTTTAAGTGCCCCTAACTTCACAGCAAAGCCYTGTCAGTGAAACCCATTTTTCTTTGAAGCTCAACATTTTTAAAGGATGTTGAAAAATTGGTTGGGGGAGCTGATGACAGCCCCTGGATTATCTGACAGCTGGGAAAAAAGACTTAAAGGAAGGAAAAGACTTAAAAGGATCAATCTGTTTAGCTAATTAAACAAAGATTGAGCAGGAGACTTGATTACAGTATTTAATACTTTCTTASAGGAAGGAAATAATGGGAAGCAAAACTGTTTAATTTTGGCATCAGGGAGGTGAGGCTGAAGCCAGACAMATTCACAGGCACTGAGAGCMTGGAAGGGRCATTTTCTGGGAAARTAATTCCAATTTATTCATCTCCCAGAATATTTGGATCAAGAATTAAGGATTTACTTTGGCCAACCACAAATKGCTGGGGCTGTTCAAGAGCCCTAAGGAGGATGTGCAGGTGGTCAGGACCTTCTGCTCCAAATGCTGGGAATCTCGGGGTGCTTATCCCTGGGRCTGATCCCTGAGCAGCCTTCCAAGGGATTTAAAGGAAAAAAATCAACAAAAAAACAACCCTGCAACTGAAATGTGGGAAAGCTTTCCTTGTACTGCCTGTTTGTGGTGATGTGTCTGAGCCACACCAGTTATTTGTGGTCTCACAAGCCATGAGGAGGAGAAGAAAACCTTTTCACTGCAAAGGCAAGGATCCATCTCCTCTGTGCTTCCAGACTTTCCAAAAGATGCACCATTCCTATCCCTGGCAGCACCCAAGAACCYGAGCATCTTCCTCAATTAGGGAAAAACCATGTTAAATACTAATTATCTGAGGTATTTCATATCATTTAAGTTGCATTTGTGGTACTCATGTACCAGRAAATTTGCTCACAGCAGAAAGCTC